GGGAAAGCTGGGCTCCTTCTCCGCAGGCAGGAGGATGCCCTGGCTCTGAGGAGGGTGAGGGGACCCTTAGTCCCTTGCTGCTGCTGGTCGCAGCTTTCCCAGATGGCGCCGACACACCCGGCTTCTGCAGGAGCGAGGTCTCTCTCTGCTGCCCACTGAACGGCCGCCCCAGACATCTTTGTAAACCCCCCCCCCACTTTTCCAGCTGCCTGAGTTCTACTCCATTGCAAATGCATTCCATCTCCAGCCCTCCTCCTCCCAGAAGCCTTTTCTACACCCTATAGTCCCTAACAAATGCCAGTCCAGCCCAGACCAGAAAGGGGTGGCCATGTATTTGGCTGAAGGCCTCATCTTCCAGGCTCTGCTGGAGATACGAGAAGGGGAAAGGTTCCCTTGGACCTGGAGCTATATTCTGCTGGTCATCTTATCCTTGGCCCAGAGCCACAGGGAACAGGGTTGGTTGGGGGGTTGCTTCTAGGAGTCCTGCCTACTGCTCCCGGAGGCCTGAGGGCCTGAGCTGGGGGAGGCAGGGCCTGAGCCCTCGTGAGCCCTGGTGAGCCCTGATCAGTTGTACCAAGGGAAATCTGCACTATGGCAACGTCTCTGCTCGCAGGGGTCCTGGTCCCCTTGAAGCATGTGGGAAGCATGAAGTGTCCATTCAGATCCTCTTTCTGTCCTTAGGAACTGGTCATTTGGAACAGGATACTATACGTCTCTGGGCCTCAGCTTTCTCCTCTGTAAGCTGGTAACAGTCTGAGTTACTTGGAGGGGTGTTGTAGAGCAGGGAAGGCCATTTACACACGGTGTCTAACACACCAAAGAGTAGGTATTCCATAAACAGTTGCTCTTAGTGTAAAAAAAACACTAGCAATGTCAAGTCCCCAGTTTCTGACTGTGCAACTTTGAACAAATTCCTTGTGTGTCCGTTAGCATCCTCGCCTGTAAGGTGAAGATTGTGCTTCATCCATGTATTCAGTAAATAATTACTGAGCGACTTGTGACATGCTGGGCTTTACTAAACCTGTCATTTACTGTTAGTTAAAAGATGTGGCCCAGTGCCTGGCATATAAGAGGTCGTCAATAACTCAGTTTTCTTACACAAGTCACAGCTGGATGGTGGCAGGCAGAGGGGGTGGCACAGAGGAAGGGGACTCAGGGGTGAGGGTGGAAGGCTGGGCCTGCCTCAGATTCCCATCCTCCTTCCCACACTTACTCTTTCCCCCTTCAGCCAACACGGCCTCACTTTGCCTCTAAGTGAGGTGTTGGGGAAGGTGCTGGGGCCTCTGAAGAGTTTGCCGTCCTTTCTGCCCCTTGGTCCCGTCAGACCACTTAGATTGTCCGTTGCCTGTAAAATGGAGTTCTCAGACACTGGGGACGCGGCCATGTGCCCACCTCAGTAAGAGTGGTCTCTTCACCAAGCTGTTCCGCCGCCTCATGCTCCTGGCTCCTCTCCCGGGACCACACAGTCTGGACCCAGTGTCACCTCTGGCTTCTCAGCACTGGAGCCCCCCCACCCTTCCCTGCTGACTTTGCCCGGCCCCCAGCCACACCGGACCAGGTCCTCTCAGGGGAAACGTGGGTATGTGTGTGCATAAGACCTGACACACGAGGTCTACGATCAAAGTTGATCGAATGAATCCACAGTGGATGCTCCTCTGCAAAGGGGCCTTGTTCATTCAACCCTCCACCGTTTATCCAACTCATAATCCATTTGGTGCCAAACCCCGTGTCAAGGGCTGTGGCATTTACGTCACCAATAGCCAAGCTCGCCAAAGACTGAAATGTCATTCACAGGTTTTCTGCTCTCAACACCTCCCCATCCCCACCAGGCCACCTGACTCCCAGCCCCCCAGCCCCCTCCTTTACTCCTGGACACTAGAGCCCTGGCTCCACCAGATTTTGGCTGCAGCAGAGGTCAGAGTGCCGTGCCACTGAGTTTGGGGTCAAATCCTGGTGCGTAACTCACCCGGTGCCCTTAGACAAGTTACTTAACTTCTCAGAGCTTCATTGCTCTCATCTGGAAGATAGGCGTGAATAAAACTGCTTATCTCGTCTTTGCTGCACGGAGTAACTGAGATAAGGCACACGCTTAGAACACTGGCCGCACGGTACAGGCTCGGTGAATGTGAGCTGTTTAGGACGGTTGTGACTCCTCTCTGTCACGAGCGCCCACCTCCCTGCCCTTCTGCACTGTTTGGCACAAGCCTGAGCACCTAGTAGGTGGTCAGTGAAATAAGACTTCCCAGAAACGGGGACATCTGATGGACCTGCTGGGTGAGGAGACCCGGAAACTGGTAGAGGTTCGAAGGAGGGTGGGGGAGCAGCGAGGGGCTGTCCCTGGAGGAGCAGACAGGGTCTCAGGGCTGGCTGTATCTGTCTCAAGGACCAGGAGCTTGTGACACGTGGGAGCCGGGCATCCCACAGTTCAACAGCTCTGACGGCCACGTGCTGTGTTTGAAGTCCTAATAAGCAAGCCATGGGGATCCCACCCCAATGTCGGGGAGGCCCACCCTGGCTGTGGCATAGTTACAAGAGGAGTCTGTTACTCCTTTGTTTTCCAGAACCTATACCCCCTTTTCCTCTTCCAGGAACCCCTTGCGCCTTTGGCCCACATGAGGCAAATCGCCAGGTGCTAAGGCAGGGGAGGGCTGACCGAGGTCAACCGTGGCCAGGGGTAATCACAGAGCCGGAGTGGCTGGGTGGCTGCGGGGGAGGCTTCTGGGAGACGGTAGGGCCTTGCCTGGTGGTCTCTCGGAGACCTCTGGCTCTGGACCTCAGTTTCTTCCTCGGTGAAATGGGGACCTTCTGTAGGTTGCTTTTCCCTGCCTGTTGTAAAGACCAGAGACTAAGTCTAGGAACAATCTTGCCATGGGGAGGAGAAACAGGTCTGGGAAGTGGATGTCTTCCCTCAGGGCGAGGTGTGCTCAGACCTGGGCGGGGACCTCCTGGACTGCAGGACCCAGCTGCTCCTTCCTCAGGGGCGCCCCTGGGGTTCATAAGCGGAGCCACATCCTGTCGGTGAACTGCCTGAGTGGCCTGGGGCTGCCAGAGGGGCTCAGACCCCTGGCTCCCAGGCCAGGCCCGGGCAGGGTTAGCGCGGCCCACCCACCTCTGGATTTCTACCCCCCACGCTGCGCCGTGGCTAGAGCTAGACTTCTGACCTCAGCCCAGGCCTGAGGGGAGATCCCCACACTGCAGTTGCCCACCCTAGGCCCGGCCCACATGGCGGGGAGCATCCCTGGCCACTGCTCCAGACTGGCCTACAAATTCTCTGGGTCTCCCCACTGCTGGGGCTGGACAGCATCTGCTTGGGCCCCTCCGGCGGGGGCACTGGTGCTGCCAGGGGCAGAGACCCCCTCCCAACGGGTCCTGGTGGGCCGTAAGCCTGCCTTCATCGAAATGTGTGGCATGAGGACCCCACAGGGTGTCCTGTCGTGCTGCTGCCACCACCTCCCTGCTCTGAGGGCGGGGCCGTGTATCAAGCTGAAGCAACCTCCTGGCCTCAAGCTGCCGTGGAGGGGACAAAGCAAAACAGTGACCGAGGGATGGCTCCCAGTTGACAGAAGTGGCTTCTTTCCTGCATGGGGGATGGCTCCTGGAAAGTACTGGAATCCAGGTTGGGGGGGGGGGTCACAGGGACCACAGCGCATGCCTAGTGCCTTGGCGCTTACCAAGTGACCAAGTGCTTTTGCATTTTCCTATCTTGTCGAAGCCCCACAGCCGCCAGTGAGGTAGGGGAAGACGATCAGCCCCATTTTACAGATGAGGTGGGTAGGCTCAGAGAGGCAAGTAGACTCCCCCAAGGTCACACAGCTGCTGGATAGCGAGGCCAGGTGCAGCCTGGAAACCACAAACTCACAGGAGGCACAGGCTCTGTGACTTTGGGCCAGTTACTTAACATCTCTGAACCTCAGTCTTCTCGTCTGAAAAATGGGGATAGTAATCGTTTCTATCTTACCAGGTTATTGCGAAGATCAAATGAGACAGCGCTTATACGACATACTCGGTACGGTAGCGGCACAGACCTGGCAATGACTGTGAGCAATGATCAAGATTAGTATCCCAAGGATATTCAGATGCTGTCCCTGTGGAGGCCACACCCCAGAGGACGCCTCGTTACCCGTAGGCTCCCGTCTCATCTCCGTTCACCATATCTGAGAGCTGCTAACGTGGGTTCGGGGTCCTTATGTGAAGAGGCAGGGGCCGAGCAAGGCACTGGATTCCTCTCTGGCTCTGCCTGCCTGGAGGAGGAGCTGGGGAACCTGCCTTAGCCCTGGAGGACAGCCCAGGGGGGCTCGCGACCCTCCGGTCAGCACCAGGCCGTGTCAGGTGCTGGCTGAGGCTCTGCCCGGAGTCTTCCATCCCTGGATGATGGGAGCTGAGGATCGGCCGTGGCTGAGTCTCTCCCACCCAAGCTCTGTCCAACCCAGCCTGCTCCTCCAGGGTCTGGGGAAGCCCAGCTCCGCAGCACGGAGGCCTGGCCCAGGGGAGCAGCTTGCTCCTTGTCCGTCGCCTGGGTCACCCTGAGATGGAGCAGGGGTAGGGTGGGGCTTCCAGGGAAGTCTGTCTTTGGGAAGCAGGAGTGAAAGTCTGCCTGGGAGTAGAAGGCATGGTGGGGGGCGGTGGCTGGTGTCAGTGATCCTGGGCCCAGCTGGGGTGATGCCAGCACCTTGGCCATCGCTCCCTGCCAGCCTGCCACCTGTTGATCAGTCCCCTCCAGGACAGCCCCAAAGGCCGCCGCTGTGCTCAGGGGCCAGGGAGGGAATCCCAGGGGAGGCCTCTCTCACCTGATTCACACGCCCCTGGATAACCCTTTCAGGAACCCTGCAAGGAGGGAAGCGGGCGGTTCTGGCCGCCCAGGGGGTGCCTAGAGGGGGAGGAGGCATCTCTGCGTCTAAGACGAGCTCTGTGAAAGCTCTGGGGCCTTTGGGGCTAGATCCTTAGCATTTTAAAATTTTATTATGACTGCGTTTGTTTAAATATATATATATATGTATATATATATATATATATTTATAGCTCTATGTGCCCACTGCCCCCCGGGCCCCTCCCAAGCCCCTAGTTTTTCCCCTTGGCCTTCTGTTTGGCAGCCGTGTAGGGCAGCAACGTCTGAGTGCTTTTGTCGGACACCGTCTGGGTGCTACTGTTCCTTGTGACCCTCCGGGTCTGCTCGGGGGCGGCGGGGCCCTGGCGGCAGCTGGTCAGCGGAGGGCGCCTGGGCTTGCAGGGGGCGGGCGGGGGCTTGGGGGCGCCCACCGGGGCCTCGGGGCGGGGGGGCTCTGGGGACAGGCCCGCCTCGGCCGCCGCCCCGCTGTCCGCCTCCTCGTCGTCACAGCACAGGGCGTGGTAGAGCACTTTGTCGCTGAAGCGCACCCTCTCGCGGGTGCCTGGGGTCCGCTGGGGCTGGCCCTTGGCCGGGCCGCCGCTGAAGGCCTCCTCGCTGGAGGAGTCCGGGGTCTCCACCCGGGGCCCGTTGGGGACGGGCGTGCCGCCGTTCATGAGCCGGTAGTCGGGGCCAGCCCCCGGCCGTGAGGGCTCGGCGCCGTCCACAGAGTCCGAGGGGGTGGACGTGTCCAGGAAGGAGCAGAACTCCCAGCTGTCCGAGAGGATGTCGGCCGTGACGAGGTCCAGGTGGCCCAGGTCGAAGGGGCCGCCCACGCCCGCCTTGTCGCTGCTGGAGGTGCTGCTCACAGTGGCTGTGGTCCAGTCGTCTGGCTCCAGTTCGAAGTCGAAGTCTGAGGTTAGCTTATCGATCTGGCTCACCACCTGGTGGGGCCAGGAGAGAGGGGTGAGGGGCCCTGGCCGCACCCCGCCAGGTGCCCACCCGCGACCCCCGAGGTCTCGCTGCACCGGGGTGAGCAGAGCTTGCTCGGGCCATCCCCCCGCGTCCTCTCCTTCCTCAGTCTCCCCTCCCAGTCCTGCACCCATCCACTCACACACTCACTCTCCCAAAGCCACAGTCTGTCCTGGGCGCAGCCCCGGTGCTCAGAGCTCGGTTTTCCCTTGACTGGGAGGTGGCCTGGGAGGTGGCCTTCCACAGAGGGCTGACGCTGCAGCAAGGCCACTCAGCGGACCACATCCCTTCGTAGAGGAGAGGATCCGGGGTGCCCATAAGGAAGACCCGTCCCAGGTTTTCCAAAGCATCCTGGGCCACCCTGTGCTGCGGCCCAGCGCCTCTCCCCCGGGACACCCTGGAGCCACCTCCCTCCTGCCCTGTCCCCTGACAGTGGAGATCAAGTGTGGCTGGCGGGGAAGGAATAGGACAGCATCACTTGGTGAGCAGAGAGGAACCCCGGCCCTGGCCGAGCTGGCCAGAGCCAGAGCCGCTCCTCACGGGCACTGGGGGGCAGCCGGCTGCAGAGGGCACTGTACCCCACCCGTCCCTGCCTCCCTACGGGTGGCCTGCCTCGGGACGCCCCCCAGCACGGAAACCCAGCGAAGGGAGACCCTACCAGCGACATCGGGAGGGTACAGAGTAAGAGGAGGAGGAATGATGATTCAGAGCAAAGACAAAAACGGCAAAACGACGACGACAGCAAGGCAGAGGGACGGGGAGACCCAAGGACAAGACATACACAGGGAGCCACTGGCCCAGGACCCCTCCCGGCACCTCGCTGGGGTCTCTTCCTGGGGGCAAGGCGGCCAGTTAATGAATTAACTAAGAAATCTAACAAACTTTTACGAGGATGAGTGCTGTCCGGGATGTGCGAGGAGCTCGTGAGGAGTGGGGCGGGGAGTGCCCCAAAGTGCAAGACCAAAGCAAGGCCAACAGCCACGAGCCAGGAGGTGTTGGGGTCAGCGGGACATTTACTTGGTCAGGAACAGGGGCGGGGGCATCCGACAGTGACCTGGTCATCATTTTCCCTCTGAGCCTCAGTTTCTCAATCTGTAAATGGGGAGGTTGTGCGAAGGGTTTACTTCCAAGGTTCCTTCCATCTCTGAGATTCTAGGACTCTGTGTTTATAGGGATGACTAGGGAAGCTGTTTGGGGCTGTCCCTGCCTAGGGGTGTCCATTCCACATGGCCCCAGGCCCGAGGGGTGCTGGGAACACTTGGCTGAAGCCTGCAGAACCAGGGGAGTCCAGACACTTGGGTTCCAGATTCAGCTTAGACATCATTCTGTGTGTCTTCAGGTAAGTCACACAACCTCTCTGGGCCTCAGCCATTTAAGCATGATGACCCCAGCCCTGCCATCCTCACCAGTGCCTCATGAAGGACAATGAGAAGGGCAGTGAAAAGTCTCCGTGGGGCTTTGGTGATAAAAGTGACATCGTCTCCCATCTCTGAGGACCTACTACGGGTCAGGCTTTCTACCCAAGAGATCATCATCTCCTGAACTTCTAGAAGATGGGCCAAAGTCACCAGAAACTAGGGGGAGCCGAGGCTCCCACTCTCCCCCGAGGGTCCCCGTAAGACTGCATACCACCATGAGCTGCTGCTGTGATTTCTGGGCTTGGGCAGGCAGTGGGGACAGGGCCCCATTCTCCAATCTGGCCACCCGCCCTATGCCCGCCACCCGCGAGTGACTCCCCCTATACCTCAGAGAAGCTCACATTCCCCCAGGAGCCCTTGCTTAAACGAAAGACCCACTTGAGGGGTGGGAGCCCTGGCCCAGGGCAGGGGGCTCTCAAACTGGAGTGTGCGCCAACCTACTCCCCAGAGTCTCTGATCAGTAGGTCCCGGGCGGAGCTTGAGAAGGAGCATATCCGACACGCTTCCAGGTGCTAGTTCAGGGGCACACTTTGAGAATCACTGGCCCCGGGGGCCTGGGGATTTAAGCCGGTGAAGAGATAGCACCTCAGGGCATTGCCAGCCTCAGGGGAAGCCCTGCGTCTCTGGGACAGTCACATCCTCCAATGAGACTCCCTGACCCAGCTGAGCCTGAGTCTGTGGCTGTGGCAGCACGGGGACACGGCTAACAGGACTCTGGGTGGATGACCAGCTGTGACCACACAGGGTTGACTGAGGCCAGGCCAGGCCCGGAAGCGGGGCTCCTAATGCCCTGTGAGGAAGATCCGGGGTGCATAGGACATCCCAAGGCTGTCAGGCTTGCACACACTCCTGTCTGCCCAAGAAGTTCCTGCTGGCTGGCTGCTCAGGCAGGCTTCACGTTCAGGCCCCTTCTCTCCTCCATTAGGACGTCCTTCTCTGGTTTCATCCTGGGAGTGTGGACGGATGGGACAGAGGGAGGCTTGGGGTCAAACCCCAGGTAGGCCGCATCGCATCTAAGGAGCTTGAGGCAGGTGATTTTCCTGAGTCTCAGTTTCCTCCCCTGTAAAATGGGCTGACCCTCCTCTCCTCACCAAGGCGATGGGGACTAACTAGATATGAATGTGGTTTACACTGCAGAGTCCGCACAGCCCCACACTTAAGGACCCAGCCTCTGGAGTCTGCCCTAGCGTCCGGTCCTGGCCTCACGGCTGACCGGCCCTGTGGCCTCAGCCAAGTAACCCAGCATCTCTGTGCCCAAGTGTCTTCAAAAGGGGGATTTCTAGTAGCTCCTGCTTGATGGGGCTGTTGTGAGGATTTAATGGCACGATGCATGCAAAGCAGGTAGAGCAGCACACACTATCAACGCCCTCTGTGCACCCGCGGGTGCTAATATGTGACCCGGCCCCTGGCACCAGGCCCAAGAGCGGATGGGCATCAGCTCTTCACCAATGGAGTGACATTCTGAGGGGGACAGTTCCAGGGCCTGTGGTGGAGGAATGGGACCTACTGGGCATTTCAAAGCCCAACACGTGGGTGACAGCTATGTTCCCTAAACCAGGTCTGTCTCCAGGCAGAGCAGAAGCAGAAGAGGTTCTAAAAGCCGAACAGTAATGAAGCTCGAAGCAAATCTGGCCCAGACGGTGAAGGACGGGAGCACCCACATGATGAATGACCTAAGTGAGGACCAGAAAGGGGAGTGATGGGCCAAGGGTCCTCGGACTGCACGCAGGGCCCCTGTACCTCTTTTCATGGGGCCGGTGGGGAGGGCAGAGGGTGGGCAGGCCCTACCTTACCTGCCTGTCTGCTCCGGATGCCTTGAAATCTGTGATTTCTCTCTGAGATTTAATAATCATTTTGCCTGTGTGTAATTTGGGATTGTCTTAGAGTGCGGGGAAATAATTATATATACAGAAAGAAATAGAAGGGGGAGAGAGAGAATGGAAAGAGAAATGACAGCATAAAAATGACAGGATCACAGAACCTCAGAGCCGGGGGACTGGAGTCGCTGTTGGCTTCACCCCGTCACCGTGCTTGCTGGCGGGGAGGCTAAGGCAAGGCCCACCAACTGGAAGGAGCAGAGCTGAGGCCCCGGGTCAGGAGTCCTGGCACCTTAAGGACAAGAATTACTGGATTTCGGGGGTGGGGCAGGGCTGAGGGCCAGGACAGACCTGCTGGGGGCTCCAGGCCCCATCTCAGGGGCATCCCCATCCACGGTCCTGCTCTAAGCCGTGGCTCCCTCCCCTGACTGTACCCATCTGGTGGCCGCTTCCTGTCCAGTTCCTGCTGCATTCGAGGCACTTGGTAATCAGCCTAGAAGGACCACAGCACCCCTCGGCCTCTAGCACCCCTGCTCCCCAGACTCCTGAGCCTCTCAGACACAAGCCACTCCCAACGCCGGCCATGGGCCCTTGGCTGCCAGCGGGCAGCCGCCACCGCCAGGCCTGCCTCCTCGCCAGCGCTACACACTGCACCGGGCCCACGTCTGCCCCAGGCCTCACCCGAGAGGCTCCCTCCTTGGCTACTCGCTCCATCTCACTCCCAGAGGCAAGTCTTCCCTGCCCTTCCATTGCGGACAGGGGCCCTGTCGTAGGCCCTGAAGGTATTCTGTGCCTTCGCTAAAAATATTTTCCAGTTTTATCACCACTACACTTTTATGTGCAAATATGTTAAATGACTGACGTCTCCCCAGGAGCCGGTAAGCCCCATGAGGGGTGGGACTGGGGATGTCTTGCCCACCACGCCCCCCCCCCCCCCAGATTGGCGCACTCTTTACAAATACAGCCATTGGTTGAGTGGGTGAGTTGAGACAGGGGGCTTATAAAACCTGCTGGGGGCTGCTTTTCTGAGGAGTTCCACAGCCCTGTCCGGCCTGCCCCAGCCCTCCCTCCCGCCCTGGCTGAGGCCCCACTTCAAGGAAAGCACATCTGTGTCCCCTAAGGTCCCTGAGCCAGGACGGAGGGCCCGGGAGTTCTGGGACTCCCGGGTCCTCCATCCTGGTGCCTCCCTCACCTCCGGCCCCTTCACCTCACTCAACAAGCTGCTACCTGCCCCCCTCCCTCCGAGCTCCCTAGGCAGCTGGTTATATAACTGGGGATCTGCATTATTTATGACCACTGATTATTTTTTAATTTTGTGATTATGTTATTTATTGTCTTCCTGGGGGGGCTGTGGAGCTGGGCAGGGGGAGAGAGGGGGACTGTGATTCGTGACTCTCATCCTGCAATTTGGCCTAATTGGCCAGGGAGCCTTGAGAATCTGTCCAAAGGAGGAGAGAGCGCAAAGGGAAAAGGGAGGAAAGGAAGGTGAGGGGAAAAAAAAATAATAAGAAAAAAATCTGCACAATTCTTGCTGAGCTGCGGGTGATGGAGCTGACCCACTTTGGCACAGCTCCGTGGTCCCCAGCCTCTCCTGCCCCAGCTGCTTCCTGGCCGGGCCACATCCATCTCGTGCCGCACAGCCCTTGCTTCCCAGGCCACCCCATACACAGCGCTCAACCCGTGGGACTGCGCAATTGCCAGCGGGCCTGCCCCCGGGGAATATCAGGTGGGGAGACCCTCCAAGGCCACCGCTAAGGTGAGCAGCTTGTGACCACCCAAGAGCCAGTGATGACATAGCAGACGCTGGTGGTGAGCCCGAGGACCATTTTCGAGCTCCCACACTGAGTGACACCTTGGGGAGGAGGAGGAAGCCAGGTAACTTAACATCTGGGAGGGCGAGGATGAGAGTCCCTACCCCCCCCCCCCCCCCCCCCCCCCCCCCCCCCCCCCCCCCCCCCGCCGCTGGTGGGGAACAGGGAGAGCAGGGGAGAGGCAATTCCTGGGGAGCATGTTGGGATTCTCACGGAGGATTAATCCGAATTTCATATCATGGCCCGCAAGGCTCTGTGTCATCTGACTCCCTGCTCTCTCTATGACCTTTCCTCCTGCTTCTCTCCTGCTGGTTCACTCCACTCCAGCTGCCCTGGCTTCCTTGTTGATCACGAACATGCCACATACGCTTCCACACTTCCTCCTCAGGATCTTTGCACTAGCTGCTCCCACTGCCCGGAAGGCTCTTCTCCTACATATCCATTTGTCTCGTACCCTCTTTTCCTTTGGGTCTCTGTTCAAAAGCCATCTCAGTGGAGATTCCGTCCCCTTGTCACTGTCACTCTCCTCCCCTTTCCAAGTTGGAGAGGGTGGCACTGCCTACTGCAGGAGAGGCCAAACGGTGCTGGCCAGGAGGCCAGGCTCCTGCCTCTGCCCACTCTGATCATGGCTCAGAAGCCGACAGCCCTCCAAAACAACAAGGTTGTACCCAGAGTAAGGGGCAGGCCAGTGCAAGAATGTCTCATTAATAATACCTAAAAGATGTGGGGCTAGTTTTGTGTCCATCCCTGTGCTAAGTACTTTATAAACAACATCACATTTCATTCCTAGAGCAAACGTGGGGTTGGTTGTGGAGGCATAAAATTCAGTATCCTCATTTGCCCGAAAACGGAAGCCCAGACAGGTGAGGTAACTTTACCAAGTTCACACAGCTAGGAGCGGGGTGGACCCGGATTTGCACCAGAGGTCTCTGGCCGCAAGAGCCCATGCTCTTAGCCTCTGGGCTGTACTGCATCTCTACCTAAGCGAAGATGCACAGAATTTTGTGGAGCTTTGAGAACCTGCTGGGATTGGCCTGGCATCCTGGAGTGTTGGGGAACCTAGGAGAATGAGGGCTAATTAATGATTGACTGTGACATCCCTCTGCAGCAGTTTTTCCGCTTTCAAAGCACTTTTACATTCCTCACCTCACTTAGTCCATTAAGATACTTTTTCCACCCATGGGACAGAACCTGCCCCTATCCCATGGGGAGCCCGGTGAGAGGGGCAGCAGGGGTTTGGGAGGGCAGGGGAGGTTTGGGAGAGGGAACCCCAAAACCTTTAGGGCTGTGTGCTAGACCCCCTTGCCACAAGCCAAGCCCCAGATAAACCCTTGAAGAGCACTCTGAGATGGGAATGATCAGCATCCCCATTTCAGAGATGAGCAGACTGAGGCTTAGGGGTTTGGGGAGGAAGGGCTTTATATCTCTCATCTTTCTATGAATTTTAGGGCTGTATGCTCAAAAGGATCATGGGAGTCTGCCAGGGTCAGTGGTATCTGGGGCCAGGGAAGTGAGCAGCAGGAGGAGGAAGAGGATGGCCGAGGGGCGGAAAGCTGGCCTTGCTCCTTCAAGCGAGCATCCTGGGCTGCTCCCTGGCAGCCTCACATGTGCATCTTGTCTTCACATCTAAGCGCTTTGCTCTCCTGAGAGGGAACCCGGCTCAGTGAGCCCTGAGCTGGTGGTGTCTGCGGAAGGGGATGTGATGAGTGAAGAAGAGCCTGCCACCCTCTCGACCTTGGGTCTACTTAGGCCCAGTGGAAAACTGCCACACAAAGGGACTGAGAAGAACCAGCTAGACCCAGCTTTAGAAGCCCCCTTGGAGGATCAAGAGCCAGAATCACAGGTTCCAGGGAACAGAGGTCGGCAGCCCCTCACCCCAAACCAAGGCCTGGCCCTCCCACTGGGTAACCCAGGTCCCTGACAAATCCCATCCCACAGGAAGTCAGCTATGGGGTCTCCTCTTCTGCCCGGGGCCTCCCAGAGCCTCACCTGCCTTCCCTGACACTCACACTCATCTATCCACCACCCTGTGTCCAGACCTCGCCTGGGGGGTGGGAGAGTTCTGAGGCCTGCCCCCCTCCCAGCTGGGTGCCATTGGCAGCGGGCAGGCAGTGGCATACGGGGTAGATGCTGGTTGCCATAGCAACCTGCCAAAGTCTTGGGTGGAGGCACATGGCCTACAGGGTGTATAGGGGGAGGGAGCTCATCTCTCTCTGTCCGGGCTCAGGCCTTTGGGCAGCCTGTGAACCTGAAGTTCTGCTGTTCGGGACACGGGGTATGAGTGTTTGTGCTGAGGAGGGCGAGAGGAAACATCTAAAAGATCTGCAAATAAATCCCAGTGCTTCTGATCCCCCTGCCTCATCCCTAGAAGGGCAACCCCTCAGAGCATCACAGCAAGAGAGTAAGCTATCATCTCCAGAAGGCCTCTGCCAAAATGCTGAAAGGTCACCTGCCTGCCCACCTGCTCCAGCCTCAGAATAGGCTACAGGAACCTAAGTTCTAGTTAGTTCTGCCACTGGTAGGCTGTGCCACCTTGAATAAGCTCCTAGCCCTCTGGCCTCAGTTCCTTCAAACAGAAAATGGACAGGGCTGGTACGGATGACCTGTGAGATGTCTTTAAGTTCTGGATGACTATGCCTGGGGGGGGGGGGGCAACAGGGGAGGCGGATCTTGGGAGATGCTCCTTGGGAGATGCTCCATTGGGAGTAGGTTCTGGGCTGTATGATTTCCAGGCTTAGAGTCAATCCTGGCTCTTTTCTGGGTGGGCTCCTTTCATGGCATAGGTCCCATGCCCCTGCCCAAGGCTGAGACTCCGGATGGCTCCCACGACCCTGAGAGACCCACAGAGCATCTAGAAAAAGATGGGGTGGGGAATGATGAGGGGGTGTGGGGGAGGAGGGGTTGCTCCGAGGCATCTGGCCTTTGGACCAATGGGGTTGGGGGAGGAGGGGTGGCTCAGAGGCCTCTGGCCTTTGACCACAAGGCTGATTCTGGGCTGAGTGGCTGCCCTGCCCCACCTCAGTTCATGTCCCAGCCTCTCCACAACCCCTCTGCTCTGGATACAGCTCCGTTCAAACATCTCCTGCTCCTTGGCTCTCAGGCCAGGCTGGAGTTGGCACCCACCATCATCTCCTCTCCCCGGTCCTCCTGGAGACCCCCCGCTCTTGCACAGCTGGCTGGGGAAAGCATGAACCCATAACTCCTGTTAAATCACTCTCTCTGCTCTCTCTGCAGGGGCCCTGGTTACAGGGAGTTGAAATTTGCCTAAAGCCCACCTGGCTGGCATAATGGCACTCAGTGGGCAAATTCAGGCCAGCGGCTCAGAACGCTGGTCATGCATTTTGGGCTTGAACACAGCCCAGGGGGCAGGGCTGAGGACATGTGTACCTCATTACCCCAGCGATGTGGGAAGCAGTAATTAAACTGAGCTCCGCTTAGAGAGTCAGAAAGGGACACACATCCCAGGATCTCTCAGTGACTTTTCAAGCCTTGGCAAAAACATTCAGAACTGTGGCCAGGGACGCATGCCTTTAGATGAGACTCCTGCCCCCCATCGACGTCCACAGGAACTCTGGTTTCCACTAGCAGCCCCCTGGACTCATTCCCATCTCAGGACAGGGAGGGCAGAGCTGGCTTTAACTTCTCCAGGATGAAGGGTTCTGAGTGGCTGTGTGATTTCTGGAGAATGCTCCTAGCTGGACCTCCTTAGTAGGGCCATCGGCACCCCCGCAGAGCCCCTTCTGAGCAGCTCAGAGTCTAGGAGGCAGATGGCAGGGTCAGAAGCCAGCTTGGGCCCCAGAAGAGTGTCTCCCACTAAGAGGCTATGGTGGGATTTAGTCTATATTTGTCACCTTGGCAGCCCTGAGTGCTAACCACAGAAATGTGGTCCCACAACACACTGCCCAAGCCGACTCTACAACACCAGGGCCCCTCTAGTCCTGGAGTATGCAGAGATTTCTAGCAAAGCAGATCTGGGGAAAGGAGAACAAGGAGAAGGAAGCATCCAGCAAAGCGACACATGTGCACACAGCTTTGAGTACACACACACACACACACACACACACACCGAAACACATATGTGAGTCTGTTTTTGTGCCAGGCTCAGGAAAACTGGTCTGGGGTCGGTCTGGCCTCTCACTCACCTCCCTGAGCTCCTTGGCCACCTCCTTGAGTTCCTGCAGAATGCCCTCGAGCTGCCCGATGACCATCTTCATGCGCTGTCGAATCCGCTCCCGCTGGCCACCACTGCTGGGGTCGTCACTGGGCTGCCCGAGGTCCGGGGTGCCCCGAATGTTCATCCTTTACCACGTCGCTGCAGGCCTGCCCATATTCCCCCCAGCCGGGCACTCGCTGCGTCTGCCTCCACAGAGCCCCCCTCAGCCAGGCACAGCTCCACATCTTAACGGCCCGCCAGCCCACCCTGGCCCTGGGTGGCCCTCACCCAGCCCCTGCCCCCTGCCCCGCCGCCTCCTCTGCCTCTGGGCGGGGAATGGGACACGCCGAGGACGACAGAGGATGACAGAGGGGATCGAGGTGAAGACACAGGAGAACAGGGGGAGGGCCTTGGGTCTCAGGAGTGGTCTCCAGGACTTGAAGCGAGGACGAAGAGGAGACGACGCCGAGCCGATCTCTGGCTGAGCCCAGACACAGAGACAGGGGGGATGACTCTGCAGGGCCTCGGGGTAAGAGATGCCCTTGGGATGGGGGAAGGCGGCCGTAATCCCTCACAACTCCTGGGCAGTTGCAAAGGCAGAGGTCTCCGCGAGCGGCTGACACCTGCAGAGGGCCGTGGCTGGGGTGGGTCTTCCAGATGTGGATGTGGAGGGGGTCCAGGCTGGGCAGCTCCGCGAACGGAGCCGGACGGACGGGGAAGGGCAGCCCCCTGCAGAGAGAGCAAGCCTGGCGTCAGCCCTCCCAGGCTGCAGCACCAGCCGGCACTGCCGCTGCCTCCCTCCTCCCGCCGGCCTGCACCCTTCGTCGCGGCAGTGGGGTTTTTTTTTCCCCCTTTGTGGGGAGGGCTGGTGGAGGCACCGTCCGCGGCCTAGCCCTCCCCTGGAAGGAAATGAAGGAGCCCCTGCTTTCAAGGCAGAAGTCTTCAGCCTGCCGGGGGGCGCCCTGCCCCAGCCCCCCCCCCAGCAGCCGGGCCTGCTCCGCGGGTCTGCGAGCCCGCCTCCCCGCCGGTGCCCCCGGGCCGACCCTCCCTCCCGCGGCCCCGCCTTCCCTCCGAAGCCCCGCTCCGCGGCCCCGGGCTCACCTGCGGGGGGCGCCGGCCTTCCTTCCGAGCAGCGTCGGGGGCCAAGCCCCAGGGGAGGTCGGGGGGCCCCCCAGGCTCCCTAGGGCGGACTTCTGTGTCTGGAGTCGGCCCCTGGCCGCGGGGGGGTCCCCAGGGGCGCCGCGGGAGACATCGGGGCGGTGGGGGCGGGGCCTCCGCGCTCCCGGGACGCGGGCAGGACCGGCCTCCCGCAGGACGCGCGGGGGCCCGAGGCCACAGGTGCCCGCGCGTGGGCCGGCGTCGGAGGGCGCGGAGGGCGCAGGGATCCCCCAGCCCACGCGGGCGTCCCCGGGCTCGGCTCGGTGCGGGCAGGTCCGCGGGGGCGGGCGGGGCCGGGGCGCGGGGGGCGCGGGGGGGGGAGGGGAGCGCAGGGGGAGGAGAGGGGAGCGCAGGGGGCGCGGAGGGGAGGGGAGCGCAGGGGGGCGCGGAGCGGAGGGGAGCGCAGGGGGGCGCGGAGGGGGAGAGGAGGGGAGCGGAGGGGCACGGAGGCGAGCGCAGGGGGGGCACGGAGGGGAGGGGAGGGGAGCGCAGGGGGCACGGAGGGGGAGGGGAGGCGAGCGCAGGGGGCGCGGAGGGGCACGGAGGGGAGCGCAGGGGGGCACGGAGGGGAGGGGAGGGGAGCGCAGGGGGCACGGAGGGGGAGGGGAGGCGAGCGCAGGGGGCGCGGAGGGGCACGGAGGGGAGCGCAGGGGGGGCACGGAGGGGAGGGGAGGGGAGGGGGAGGCGGCAGGGGGGGGCGCGCGGCGGGGCCGGGCCCGGGCGCCCGGGGCTCGCAGCCTCCGCCGCGCTGCGCTCCGCCCGGCTCGCCGCGTCGCCAGCCCCCGGGCGCGGGTGAGGCTGCGGGGAGCGGGGGGCAGAGCAGCGCGGGGCCGGGGGCCTCCCTCCGCCGCCTCGCCCGGCCCTGCGCTGCCCGGCCCCGCGGGGCCCCGCCGGCCTGGCCCGCGCCCTCGGCCCCTCCGCCCCGCGCCCTCGGCCCCTCCGCCCCTCGGGCCCGAGCGCCCCTCGGCCCTCGGCCCTCGGCCCCTCGGCCCCTCGGCCCCGCCGCCCCCGCCGGCCCGGCCGCCCCCCGCCGCCTCCCGCAGCGGCGCCCGCTCGCCCGGCCCGGCCCGGCGCTGGCGGAGAAGGGCGGCCCCGCGCGCCGGGAGGGAGCTTTTAAAGCGACACACACGCCGCCCAGCGCCGAGCGCGCCCGCCGGGGGCTCGGCTCCGAGTGACGCTGCGGGCCCCGCGCCCCGGGCCGGAGGCGCCCTCGCCGGGAGCGACCCCGCGGGACCCCGGCCCCCCCCCCCCGCCCCGTGACCCCGCCCCCCCCGCGGGGCGCCCGAGCGCCTCTTTGGCCTGAGCCTTCCGCACCCAGACCTTTCCCTCTGCCCCTTCCCACACCCCAACCCACCCCAGGCCTCGCCTGGAAGCAGAGAATTTCAGGAATCTCAGAAATCTCAGAACACTGACAGGCTTTCCTGAGCACCTACTGCGCGCCGAGCTCTGCGCAAGGCCCCGCGGGGAGCTGGAGGCCCTGGCGACAGGTATGCCCGGGACACAGCTCATTTCTTCCGTTACTCTGTGCATTGGCTCGACATTTGTTCCACGTATTCGGCGCCTTCCCGGTAGGCCCCACGCTGGACTCTGGGGTTTCGGGAAGGAGAGGCAGCATTGCTTACAGCTTACAGCTCCTGGGGGAGTAGAGGGGGGGGTCAATGCAGGACAAAGGCAAGTTCTGGAATAAATGGTAAGGGATTGGGGAGGGCGGGGAGCAACCCGGGTCAGGGGCTGGCAGGCTCTCCCAGGAGGCAACCCTTGAGCTGCATCTGGAAGGAGAAGTAGGAGTTACCCAGGTGACTGTCAGTGTGGGGGAGGTGGGGATGAGCGCTCCTGGCAGGGAGGAGAGTTAGGGGGGAGGCTCGGAGGCACAGGGGAGGGAGGAGGGGAGGGGAGTTTGAGCCAACTGTGTCCTTTGGAGATGCCTATTTGACAGCTGGAGGGGGTGGGGTGGGGGGAGTGGATTGGAGGAAGACCAGATCCTGGAGAGACTTGGAGGCCACAGTCAGGCGCTGGGATTTCCTCCCAGGGGCAGAGGGGAGTGATGATGTCAGGGAGGAGTCTGTTCCTGCTCACCTTCTCAGGAGATCCCTCCCGTGGTGTTGTGGATGGGACCGCTGAGGGCCAGGCCACAAGGAGGAGACCAGTTAGGAGGCTGTTGCAAGAATTCAGCTGGGTGGGGGGTGGGGGTGGGAGCAGAGATGGAGAGGATGGGATGCTCTGAGAAAGAATTTAGGAGAATTGGACAGGACTTAGGGACTGGCTGAACTTTGAGAGGGAGGGAGAGTCCAGGATGCCTCTTACAGCTGACGGCTTATAGCTTGGGTGGACGGTTGTGCCGCCACTTTCATGAGAGAGCAGTGGGGAAGAACAGGGTCTGGGGTGAAAATGAGCAGTCGTGTTTGGGAGTTTGGGACACGTGGCAATACCCCGAGGACAGTCGACTGTATGGACCTGTTATGCACGGCCTGGAGAGGTTGGTTTGTTTTCAATTGAATCATCATTGGAGGTGACGAGATTAAGCAGGACAATTGTGTAGACTAGTACCAAAAGCAGTAAGTGTAGGCTGGAACTTTGGAAAAGAGCCCCCGAGTGAGATGGAGCAGGAACAGTCAGGGAGTTAGGAGAATAGAGAGGATAGGGCATCTTGCAGGCCAGGGAGGACGGGGTTCGGAGGAATGCATGCTCAGCCGTGTCAAAAGCTGCAGAGAGCTGCTGGGAGAAGGAATGGAAAGTGCCCACCGGCCTTGGGACTTAGGAGGCCACCAGTGGTGTGGCAGGGGCAGGTTTTTGGGGGGTAAGAAAGAAAAGGAAGGTGGCAGGAGCCCTATCATTGGGCATTGGGTGCTGAATGGTTCGTGAGGAACAGAAATGAGTCTAAGTGACACTTGGCTGCCCATTCTTCATCCCCCAGACTCTGGCAACCACCCTTCTTCTATTTTCTGTGTCCGTGAATGTAACCACTCTTGGCACTTCACAGAAGTGGAATCCTATAGTCCCACCAACCATTTTCATAGAAGCTATGATACTAAGGATAGCCAACATCAAAAATGGGCTGAGCCTGAGAAAATAGAGGAGTTTCTAGCTTAGGTCCACAGGACCATCTGTGCACGTCCAGGATGGGGGAGTCGTGTTCGAACTGGGAGTTATTAGGAGACAGTGAGCTTGGTTTCAGAGGATGAGATGGAACTGCTTAATACCTACTTGATTCTGGGTCTCGTTAGTGGAAGTGAGTTATTTGGGAAAAGGGAGATGACATTTCTTCTGCTGCCTGGGTGGATCGAATGTCGAGGACCCCCATGCGGTGGGGGGATCCCCAGGAGGGCAGCCAGATGGAGAAGCAGAGGGACTGGTGTATATGTCCTGTGAAGAAGGGGTAGGCTGGTCAGAGCAGACCAGAGAAGAGGATCGTCAGAACATGTCTGATTATAAATCTCCAAAGGGCGACCACAGGCAAGAGACAATAACTAGGCTCTGGGTGGTGCTCAGGCCTGCCTTCCTCAGTGTTTGGAGTTTGACCCATTCTCTCTTCCTTTCAACCTCCCTGGGCACCTGCCCAGATGTCCCATCCTTCAGAATTCTGCTTAGATCCATACTCCCTCCCCCTGCCACCTCCGGACAGCCTTGCCTAGTCCTTAGTTGGCAGAGAGAAACAGAAGCATTTTTTTTGGCCCTTAACCAAATGTTTCCGAGGATGTTCATTTAATGTGCTAGCTGTGTGACCTTGGGCAAGTCACTTAATCTCTCTGAGTGAGGACAAGGAGCCCATGAACATTTTATTTTTCCCTCTATTGGCTGCCTTGCCAAAAGGGGAGGGGGAGTTGTTTTTCTAATGTCTCTTTGACTCGGAAAAATAGGGATGATAACAGTACCTACTTTCCAGGGTCATTGTGAGCTTGGAATAAAGTAACGCGTGTAGAAGTACTTGGCCCAATGCCTGGCACCTGGTAGGTGCTCCGTGGATGGTAGCTGCTCTCAGCTCTTATTAACGGCTTTGTGTCTGAAAGCCTTATTTCTCTGTGAGGCTCTGACTCCCCAAGATGGTGTCTGTTTCGTGTCTGCCCCCATCTTTCGCATGGACCAGTGTCGTGGACTGTAACAGTCAGTGACTTTTACCTCTTTAGCCTGTTTCCCATCACCCTACTTCTGGCATCCCTTTCCTTTGGGAACCTCCCCGTTGTCACTGAGACCTAGTGGGCTGCCCACTGCTCCCACTTATCCTACCCCATGGCCAACAGGTGGGCATGTGACCCAGACTGTGCATATTATAGAACCTCACCCTCTAGCATCAGGGATCAGGGATCGGTCCAAGAGATAGGCAACACTACCCAAGCAGAGCCAATCAGACTCTTTCCCCGGGATTGATATGTGGGTGCTAGGGGAGGGAAGCCTTCTTACTTCTTCAGCAAAGGCTGCTGACAGCCAGGAGTCCAGGGTAACAGAGTGGGGAGGAGTTTAGAGAGCATGCTAGGGACACTGAGTCCCAATCTTGGCTTTTACGGCCTGGCAGTCTTTTTTTCAGCCCTGGGAGCTGCAACAGCATCCTGCCCATCTCAAAGAGCCAATAAATTCCTTTTATTGCTCCAACTTGTTTGGTTGGGTTTCTGTCTCATACAACCAATAAGAACCTGACACATTCAGGGAATATTAGCAAACAGGTGACTGGCTAAATGATCAGATTCTGGAGAGGGTGGGATGTCAAAGATCCTGAAACCCAAGGGTTGGGAGCTGCTGCCCTGTGGCCGTAGAAGGGAGAGTGGGTATTTGGTGGGTTATTATATCAGGCAGACTTGGGTTCCAGTTCCAACTCTGCCATTTATTAGCTGTGTGATCTTGGTAAAGTTCCTTACCGTCTCTGAACCTCACGTTCCTTATCTGCAAAATGGTCAAAGGAATAGAGACTGCATAGGGTTGCCCTGAGGATGGAATGAAATAAGTGACGAAGCACCAAGCACTGTGCCCTAGGTGGGGGCACAGGAGACAAGAGCTAGAAAAACGGTAGCTGTTTTTCTTAGCTCGCAACCCCTTGCCACTGATAGCATAGGACTGAGGTTGGGATGCGGGTCAGAAGGGAGCCACGATTCAATCTGCAAGCTGCATGCTCAGAAGGAGTGGGGCCTGGCTTTCCACTAACCACGTGACTCGCTAAATCTTCCCAAGCCTCAGTTTCCTCTTTTTTTTTTTTTTTCCAGTTTCTTCTCTTTGTCAACACTTTCTTGATGGATATCTTGAGGGCTAAGTCCACGTAACATGTTCAGCACAGGGCTCAGTAGGTGTTCCATAAATATGATTGTTATCGATGTTTGCGGCCTAGGGAAATTTCTGAGCACAAAGGTAGGATCAGTGGATAATGTTACGGGCGAACTTTCCATGAGAAAATCCCCAAGTAAAGGAGCGTCCGTATCTGAATCTCCCAGGAAAGGCCATTTCGGAATGAGGAGGGAGGACATGTGTTTTTCTGTAGCTGGACGGTGGTAGGGCTCATATCGGGGAAGCCATTTCTGGGAGCATTCCTGTCACCTTCTTGCTCCCTGTGACCTCCCCAGCTAAGACAAGGTTTTCTTTTCTTTTTTTTTTTTAAGATTTATTTATTTATTTATTTATTTATTTATTTATTTATTTATTTATTTATGATAGACAGAGAGAGAGAGAGAGAGAGAGAGAGGCAGAGACACAGGCAGAGAGAGAAGCAGGCTCCATGCTGGGAGCCTGACGTGGGACTCGATCCCAGGACTCCAGGATCATGCCCTGGGCCAAAGGCAGGCGCTAAACTGCTGAGCCACCCAGGGATTCCCCAAGACAAGGTTTTCAAAAGATTTTTCTACACTGCCTGCCTCTTCTTCCTCACTTCTGATTAGTTCTCAAGCTTTATCACCTGGTATCAGCTGCCATTGCATTGTTGGAATCACCGTCACTGAGCAAGATCTTGTTCTTACTAAGACCAGCAGACGCTTTTTCTCCCCTGTCCAGGGTGACCGCTTTGTGGCCCCGACGCTGAGAAGCTGGTCCACCCTCTGTTCTATGACATTGTAGCTCATTTTCAACTGATTCTCTTCCCAGCCCTCTGAGCACTGCTTCTCAGTTGGCCTTTAGCATTCTTCTTCTGGGGCGCCTGAGTGGCTCAGTGGTTGAGCGCCCGCCTTGAGCCCAGGGCGTGATCCTGGGGTCCCGGGATCGAGTCCCACGTTGGGCTCCCTGCATGGAGCCTGCTTCTCCCTCTGCCTGTGTCTCTGCCTCTCTGTGTGTGTGTGTGTGTCTCTCATGAGTAAATAAGTAAAATCTTTTTTTAAAAGAGGATCCTACTTCTTCTGGTCCCTGGAATGTTGGTGATCCTTGTGGGTTCTCACTTGGACTTTCTTCTCACTCCATACACCTTACCCAAGGGAAGTCTTCCACATTCCCTAAAGGTTTCCGACTTCCAGTTTGCTATTTTCAGAAGAAACTGTTCCAAAACTTCTGATCGTATTGCTACCTGCCTGCTGGACATTTCCACGAGGATATCATGCAGGCACCTCGAACTCAGTGTACCCACATCAGAACCTATTGTCTTCCCCCTATCCCCCACCCAATGTAGCCCCTTTTATCACCCCCCATCTCAGAGGATGGCGCCACCCTGCAGCCCACCATGCAAGCTGGAAACCTGTGATCATCCTAGACTCTCACTTTCCCGCATCCCTTGGGGAGCTAAGTCCTGTTCATTCTACTCTCTTAACACTGCGTAGACAGGTATGTTCTCTCTGCTGATGGCCAGGCCCTGTCTTGAACCCCCTGGCCCCCATTAGCTGATGGCCAACTAATGGGTCTGCCAACCTTCAGACTTATTCTGTGGAGTCCACTGTGACTGGTATCAGTTTTCTGATCTCTCTGTTTACGACACTCCATGGCTTCCCATCCCTACAAGGCAAATCCAGCCTCCTTAGTTTGGTGTTCACCTCTTTTCAGGAGTTTGCCCTTGTTAGTCTCTGCAGCCTCCTCTCTGTAGCCTCTTGCTCCCTTGGCTTCTGCCGGGAGCTCCGCATGCACCGCTCCCTTTATACTTGCTCTCCTCTTTGCCTGGAATGCTCCCCTGCTTCACCCTTTTCCTTGACACCAACCGCCAGAACTACCTGAAACATTCCCCCAGCGTGTGACGTCTCTCCTCTGCGCCACCACAGATGCCTGGTCCTCCACAAGCGCTTGCCATGTTGCATTGTCATTGTGAGTCTGACCCTCACAGTGAGCTGCCCGAGAGCAGACACCTCCAGGTCCTCCACGTCCAGCAGAGTCTGCTGTAGTCAATTCTCCAGCTATATTTTTTTTTAATATTGAATCTCTAAAATACCTGTTGTTTCACATCTTCATCAAACAAAATATGCTTAAGGTGGAAAAAGCTGGACGGAAAGAGCAGGGCACATAGCTCAGGGGTTTCCCCAACACACATCCTGAGCCTTCCCACCCCTGAACCTCTGATGCTCAGACCCTGCCAACAGCATCAGTCTGCCCACAGTATGGGCGAACTGTGTTGTTATCAACCCCTCCTGCCTTCTGGAGAATCTTATGCTGTCCATTACCCGTCACTCTCTGCCCTCCTGTCAGTTAAATCATACCCCCATACAAAAAAAAAAAAATCCTACCCCCTGCACACACACCCCCGCCTCTTTCTCCTGGGCCCTTTCCATCAGCATTTACACCTGCTTTCTAACTCTTCCATCTTAAAAGTAAGATCTCACTTCTCTCTCCAAGAACTGGCTCATCTTTCCTCTCTCCACAGCCAGACTTACCCCAAGAGTTGTCCCCATGCCCGGCCTCTTCTTCCCCAGCTCCCACTCACTCCTCTTCCTTGGCAACCTGGCACCTGCCTGTACCACTCCTCTAGCCAAATGTTAAATGCTGAGGTCACCTGTGACCTCTAAGAAGCCCCACTCTCAAGTCCTGACCTGACTTGTCTTCCCACTACATTTGGTAGTTAACCACCTGTTTTGTCGGCCACCTCTTTCTCAGCTTCGGGGGGCACCAAGCCTTCCCGGATTTCTGTGGGGGGCATGGGGGGCATATCCACCACGGGCCCCAAGCTCCCTCTGTGCTTCCACCCTACCCCCGTCAGAACGCGGCAGTGCTCCAGGCTCAGCTCTACGTCCTCTTCATCTTCACCCTGTCTCATCCCCCTCTGTCCTGTCCCCACCCCCGCCCAGCTCGTGGCCCCTCATCCCCACATGGCATCTCCAGCCCAGACTCTCTCCAGGTTCCAGACTCATGGGATCCTCTGCCTCCTGGGGAGCTCGGATTCAAAACTGAACTCGGAATATCTCTGAAGCAAGCCCTCAGCTCCTCTATCTCAGCAGCTCTTACAGAAACTCTGGGAAGCTTCTTTTATACCTTCCTCTCCTCAACCCACCCCCCAACATCAAATCCACCTCTGCTCATTCTGCCTCCTGCGTGTCTCCCAGTCTCCCTTCTCTGCTGCCACCGCCTTGTCTGAGACACCGTCATCTCTCCACCAGGCAGTGAAATCCACCCCCTACCACGTGCTCGCTGGGCCTTTCAAGGCATTAGCCCCGTGGCAGCCACAGGGATCTCAAAAAACTCTGAGTCAGACGTATCATTCCCCTGCTTAGAAACATCACGTGTCTCACATTTTCCTAAAATCCCCAATGTGCAGGAGCCCCTGGCTGGTGTGGCCCCTGCAGCTCCCCCCCCCCCCCCCGCCCCAAGCCCTCTGTCCTCACCTCCCGGGACTCCCACCCATCAGCCCTGCTGACCTTTCAGCGCCTGGGATACACACAGGGCCTCGAGGCCGGGCACCTGCTGTCCCCTCTGCCCGGGGCACTCTCCCCCACCTTCATGCAGCTAATGTCCGTTCATCCTTGAGGTCCTGGCTGAAAGGTCGCATCTCCGGAAAGGCCTATGCGCCCCCGCCCCCCCACCCCGACCCGGTCCCTGCTAGGTTTCGGATCCTGTGGCCAACTGCGGTGCAAGGGCTCAGCAAGTCCCAACAGGCAGCTGAGGAAGTTCAGGGCGGCCAAGCAACTTGCTTAAGGCCATGCGGCCTATCAGTGGCAGGCCTCCTCTTAGCCCCTTTTGGACGTCTTGGCGCCTGTGCCGCCGGCCCCACAACACGCAGACTCCTTTACCAAACCAGGGGGCGCACCTCCTCCGAGCTGCCTGTTCGGTGGCTGAGCCCAGAGGATCCAGGGAAGAGGCTGCGCCATCCCGAGCGTCCCTGTGCCCGGGGCCTGGCATCTGGCCAGGCGAGGACGCAGAATCCCCGGGACGGGCCTTCAGAGAGCGGCCCAGGCCACCCTCCCCGCAGCACCATCACTCTCCAGCGCGCCGGGTGGTGAGCCTTCTTTCCCTTTCCATCCTAAGCTAACTCTTCACGGAAACTTTGACTACAAAGAGAAAAGCAATAATAATTACTTGGCGAGTAATAATCAACAGAAGCGCAGAAGGAAGTAAGACCCAGGCTATAGGGGCAGCCCGGGGGGCTCAGCAGTTTAGCGCCTGCCTTTGACCCAGGGCCTGATCCTGGAGGCCCGGGATCAAGTCCTATGTCGGGCTCCTTGTGTGGAGCCTGCTTCTCCTTCTGCCTGTCTCTCCCTCTTCTCCATCTCTGCCTCTCTCTCCCTTTCTCTTTGTATCCCTCATGAATGAATAAATAAATAAAATCTTAAAAAAAAAAAGACCCAGACTATAAAACACAAGAGCCTAGAGATGGTTGAGGCCAAGAGGCTGGGCTCCATGTGGTCTCTTGGGGATCACTGCCCCTTTGGCCCTTGGGCCAGGACTTCCACCCTTGTCCCGTAGTCTGGGCTCAGTCCTGGCTAGGGGGGCGCCTCCCTGGGCACTCTCACTGGCTGACAAATCTGTGGGCGGCTCCTCTAAGGGGACTGGGATCTCCAGTGATGGGGAAACAGAGGCCCAGACAGAGGAGTGGAGGGTGGGCTTCGGTGTTCAGCCCCAGACCCAGATCACACCTGTGCTGGCTGAGCTGGTCTGTGTAGCCCCTGCCCCTGCAGGGGCTGGCCCTGGACCAATAGGGGGTAAGAATGGAGGGGAGGGGGCCCAAGTGAGGGGAGGCAAATGGGCACAGCTAAGCCTGAAGGGGGGATTGGGGGGGAGGGGAGGGCCCGCGGAGCAGGGGGCAGGACGGAACAGCAGGTTCTTGTCAGGCACACAATTTAATTCTGAGTCTGTATCCCTCGTGCCTGAGAGATTTTCAGCTTGCAATAGTGTCATTTACAGATGGATTTGCAGTGGCGAATTACAAGTTTGTAAGCAACAGCTTCTCTGACGCCTCGAAAAAAAAAAGCCTTATCCCTCTGCAAATTATAAATTCATAACTAACACTTTTATCCAACTGAATGCAAAACAAATTCATTACCAGCTATATTATTCCATTGAATACCAAGTGAATGAACTGCGCAGGATTTTGTGCGGATTAGGGATACGTTGGGAGATGGGGACCAGACAGCCCTTCCTCCGGTCCCTCTTCTTTGTGTACCTTTGGGCCCCCCTCAAGCTAACCCTAAATGCAGGCGGAATTGGACGGGGCACACTGCTTAGATCAAAAGGAGGCTGGAGGTTATGGTGGTGATGGTGGCGAAGATGGTGCGGGGGGGCGGGTACACCGAAACACAAACACCCTGCGGGCGCGAGTGTACATCTTTTGTATAATTATTAAAATTGTTGTGGTGTTATCTTAAGATACTATCTGGTGAATGCCTAAGTCCTTGTGAGGTAAAGGACACCCCCCTGTAAAAGGAGATCATTGCAATCGTTCACTATGCAGGAAGACTCGAGTCCTCTGAGCAGACTCCAGACTGGAGCAGGAATTCCCAGTGTCTCCCCAGAGCGTTACTCTCAAGACCACGTTCCAAGGTGCTGAGCACGTGGATGGGTGATCCTGGGGGCAGGGGGTGCGTCCAGACCATGCCTGCAACATGCGGGCCCTTTGGGGTCTGTGGCGGGAGGGGGGGTCATACTTTTTAACTCAGATAATTTAGTCCCTGACTCTCTGGTGTATTCCCCATGTGTGGCTCTCAAAACTTAACTTTTCTCTTTAATGTTTATTTTAGAAAATCAGGAACATACAAATAAACAGAACTAAAAAATATGTATACGTCCCGCCAGAAACAACCCAAAGTGGTTGAATGAATGGAAAGCTGTTCATTCAGGAACTCTCATCGCTTGGAAGACTTGTCTCCACATTGGCTGTGGAAGAGGAGGGGAGATGGCCCATGCTGTAGCTGTGCAAGCAAGGGCCGGGGACCGCAGCTCCCGTAGGATCCACCCCCACACTGCCCCAGAGTGTTCCCAGCCTCCGTGTCCGTCTCAGCCTCTCCTCCAGGCCAACCTCCCTGCCTCCCTCCCTCCTATTTCTCTGATCCTGGTGCCTCTCTCTGCATCCTGCTCAGGAGCCAAATGACTTCTTTTTCTTATCTCATGCTGAATGGTTTGCAACCATCATCTCACGAAACAGTTGACCGAGGTTTTTTTTTTTTTTTTTTCTAAACAAAGACAGTTTCCCATCTGAGAACAATTTCTGGTGCCAACTGTGAAGATAAACTATCTTTACCTTGTTTTATGAACACATATTTTTTAGAAAGAGAGGGTTATTCTATAAATGCTGATATCAAACCTGCTTTTGTTCATTAACAATGTAGCATCTGCATATTTGTATGCCCGTCGAGAAATCTATATGTGCTGTTTTAATGGCTGCATATTAGTCCATGTGATTTTTAAAAATTTTTATTTATTTATTCATGGTAGACAGAGAGAAAGAGACAGGCAGAGGGAGAAGCAGGCTTCATGCCGGGAGCCCGACGCAGGACCCGATTCGGGACTCCAGGATCATGCCCTGGGCCAAAGGCAGGCGCTAAACTGCTGAGCCACCCAGGGATCCCAATCCATGTGATTTTTTTTTTTTTTTTTTTAGTCCATGTGTTTTTTTTAAATCTCTCTCTCTCTCTCTCTCTTTTGCTATGCACTTAGGCTGTTTCTAGTTTTTGCTATTATAACAGCACACATCATCCTTGCACATTATTTCCTTAGGTTCTTAAAAGTAAAATTTCTGAGAAGGCACTTTCCAAAGGCTATTGTCATATCATTGAACTACTCTTTTTTTCTTTTTTAATTGAACTTCTCTTCAGAAAGTTCATGCTGATTTGTATTCTCGGCAGCAGCTTGTGTTATTGCCCCCTTACTATTCGTTCTAGCTTTGTCTCAGTTATGCTCCAAGGTGCCACAGGAGGACCCCCGTGGCCGCTTTGGTGACACACGGCAACCAGTGAGTGACTCCTTGAAGGATGAAGAGACTCGGGAACAAGAATGGGGGCCATGTGACCCACCTGCCCCTCCTATATATCCTTTGATGGCCTCCGTGGAGGGATTTGAAATTGATTGATTGATTGAACTATTGATTTTATGAAGGAAAATACTATGTCCCTTCCAGTGATGGTGATGGTCACCAGTGCAGTGTAGTGATGGTAATGATGGGGGCCATGCGGTGAGTGGCAGGTAAGGGTGGAGGTGATGGGGAGTGCAGCGTTGTCATGGAGCCGGTGGGGGTGGCACCGCCCACAGGAAGGCCCATCACAGTGGTGGCAGTGGGGACCGCGGTGGCAGGGAGGTGAGCCCAATGGTGATGGAGGCCGTGAGGCCATGAGGGCAGCAGTAGCGGAGAATTGGAGGTGTCCCTGTGGTGGTGCAGGCTGCTGTGGAAAAGTGCAGACGGAGGTGGTGTAAGTGACAGTTAGAGTATGCTACAGGATTACACAGATATACCACCGGGGAAGAGGTTATCTCAGACCTGGGGAACAGTGTGAACAAAAGAAGCAGCGTGAGACTAGTGCCAAGAAAAGTGAGGAGATCCACTGGCCAGCAGGGTGGTCAAGGAGAAATTTCATGGTGGTTGGTGCTGGGGAGTGTCTGGAAAGGGGCAAGAGAAATTTGGACTCCAGGAGGGCAGTGGAGAGACATTTTGGATCCTGGGGTGAAGGTGGACCGGAGACGAGTTCCCTGTAGGACAAAGGAGGAGAATCTGAGGAGCTGAGCAGTCAGCCACACTGCTGAACTCGAAGGGGAGCAGCAGGTGGACTAGACCCTCCAGGGTGCCTGTGAGCATCCAGGGGCCGCCAGCAGCTCGCAGGAAAAGGGGGAAGGGTCCACGGCACTGGGTCCGACCCACAGGGGGAAGGGCCCCTGACCCTGGCCACTCCTGTGCCAGCCCCAACCAGCAAACCCCACTCTCACCTTTGATGGAGCGGGAGAAAGGTCTAGACCAGTGGTTCCGGCCGCCCCCACCTCTCCCGCAGCAGCTCCCAGCACCCACCGTGAGTCTTATAGACATTTACTCGGTAGCGCTGCCTGGGAAGAGGCCCTCTCCTGCTTCCCTGGATGTAGCACGAAGCCTGCTTTGACGTGTGCACAAAGCTGCAGGATTCTTTCTTTCAGGGCAAGGACACCTGGAAAATCTCAGGGAGGCAGAACGCTGGTATCTGAGCAGCCGCATCCTGAGGATGAGGGGTTACTCCCTCCCTGGGGCTGGGGCTGGTCTCCTCTCCCGCGGCCTGCTGTCCTCCTCACTCCTACACAGAAGCCCCTGGAGCCGGTGGGTGATCTCTAGGCGAGAACGCGAAACATACTTTTTCTCCCATTTTAACGATCTCAGTGACCTCACAAGGTTTCCATGGTGACAAGACCAAGGAGTCAGGGGGGCCTTGGTGAATTAGGCCAAACACACCCACCCCCCAGGACCTTCTTCCTGGTGCTGGGCTTCGGGAGTGGACTCTAGATCATCAGCCAGCAGCAGAGGGAAGGTCATTCTAGGCACCAGGGCAGATGAGGCGACTGAGGGAGGTGGAAAGGGCACAGCGAAGGGGCTGCGAGGAGATTAGCACCTGGTGAGGAATTGGGGGCTTGCCATCTGAAGCTTGGCTTTGCAGGGAGCAGCCAGGGCCCAGGGCCCAAGGACACAGGCTGTGGAGTCCAAGTGACCCAGGTGTGAGTGACACCCACGTCCAATGGCTGCGCATCTCCCGAACGTTGCAGTCAAGGCACCTAGCGAGTACTTGATACATTCCTGTTTTCTCCCTCCTGCCCTTTCCATCGTCTGCACCACTGGGCCACCGCAGCTTCCTGAGTGGTTTGAAGTGCCACATTGCCCCCCACCCCGAATTTCTTGCCTTCAGGCACTGAATAATTCAATCTTTACATAGCACAGCGATTGAAATGCCCCATCCGTGGTCCTACTGCTGGAAATTCCACCACAGAAGCCCCACGGCTTTGCACCCAACCTCCCTGTAAATGGCACCCTCTTACCTGGGAGGTGATTCGTCCCATCTTTGGTCCCTGGACAGGGGCAGTAGTGCTGGGGGATGGGGACAGCAGGTTTTTTCTTTTTTTTCTTTTCTTTTCTTTCTTTTCTTTTCTTTCTTTCTTTCTTTCTTTCTTTTCTTTCTTTCTTTCTTTTTTAGTGCAGATGGAGCCTGTGAGTGAGGGCGAAAGAGAAAGAGAAAGCAAACGAGAGAGTTTGCTCCCCTGAAATCTTGGCCAGCGGTCATGGCTTTGGCTGCGGAATTTCTCTGAGGGAGAGTGATGGAAAGCCCAGAGATTACCGAGCATCTGAGAGGAGTCAGACATGGACATCGTGCCACACTTTGCACCGTGGAAAACGGCAGAGAAATCTATAAGCTTGGCTTTCGGAGAATAGGTCCCGGAGGTGGGATAAAGTGGATCCGTGCACCTGCAGCTCTGCTGGGTGCCTCTGGGGGAATCGCGCCACCTCAAGCAAGACAAGACCCACTTGCCAGGAGTCTGGGGGCAGATTGCTGGGGAAGGAGCCCGCCTCTGGCATCAGAGGGGAGCTTGGAGGTTGACTGGCTATGTCTCTTTGCCTTGACAGGTTCTCTGGGGAAGTCAGCTTTTATGAAGCCTGAAGAACGATTTGTAATCAGCCCATCAAATATTCAGAAAGACTTTTTCACCTAGAATCTCACTTGCTGGGAGTCTGTGGCCTGTAGTGGCTATGGATTCTCCGTCAGCATCTGCAGTCCTCTACCCCATGTCCGAGGCAGCCTGGATCTCCCAGTGGGCAAATCCCACCTCTCAATGGCTCCAGGCCCACCGCATCCTTGGGAGGCATCTGGGTCTCACTGTCCTGAGCTGCTGTCTTCTGGGACGACCGGGAATCGGGCCCACTGGCCTGGGTCTTCTGCTAACAGGGCAGCTTCCAGCCCAAGCCTAACAGTTGCCAATCCTGGGAGCTCTACGAGACACCCTCCTCCTCCTCCTGTCTCTGCTCTCTCCAGCTCCATCCTGTGTCCCATCCCCCCCACCACCACCCAAGGCCTGGATCTTATTCTTGAACTTCGAGTGCCCTTGGGCTGCTTCTTCACTCCATTTGCTCAGGATGTGCAGAATCACTGAAGAGAATTCATGTTGGGTGTAGGGGAATAGGTGAAGGGAATGAAGAGTACACTTGTCTGGGTGAGCACTGAGTAATATATGAAAGTGTTGAACTGCTACATTGTACGCCTGAAACAACTATACCACTGTCCGTTACCTACACTGGAATTAAAAAAAAAATCACATTGGGGATTTTTTCTTTTCTCTTTTACATTTCCTAACTGGATTTTGCTAGTATATTTCTTGATACCCGCCATCTTGCTGACCTCCTCCATAGTCTCTTTCTTGTTTTTCAGTTTATTCTCTGGAGTGTTCTGGATAAACAATCATATCATGAACAAATAACGATAGCGATTTCTCCTTCTTCCTGAATGTTATGCTTCTTTTTATTTGCATTTTTAATGTACTATTGCATTAGCTAGAACTTCCAGAACAATGCAGACTAATTGTGGTAATAGCAGGCAATCCCATCCCACTCTGCCTTAAATATGAGCACCTCTCTGCGTTTTTATCGCCAAGAATGTTGTTGTTGACTGTTGGTCGCGGACAGGTTTTTTTTTTTTTTTATGATGTTGAGAAAATGTTCTTTTATTTTTATTTCACTAAGAGTTTTCATCAGAATGGATGTTCAGTTCTATCAAATGCATTTTTGGTTTTTGTTAAGATTGTCAATGAACTTTTCCCTCTCTGGTAATTGATGTGATTAATCATATGGGCCGATTTTCTCATGTGTAGTCACCTTCACCCCGCTGCACTTCTAACACAGCCACCTGTGAAATGGGGAGATCTGTTGCCCAAGAGAAGTCTGGTTGAGTAGCAGCTCTACCCTGTGCTCTGAATCCCATGGCCCTGAGCACGCTTTGCCCCACCCCCACCCTCTACTCCAGGATGTAATCCTGTGATGCCTAGGGGCTTGAGCTGCGGTTCTGGAGATGTGGATGGGTGCCGGCTGGCCCCAGAGTGATCTTCTTCTTTTAAAAAAAAAAATTTATTTATTTATTCTTGAGAGATGCAGACAGAGAGGCAGGGACACAGGAAGAGGGAGAAGCAGGCTCCCTGCAGGGAGCCCGATGTGGGACTCGATCCTGTGACTCTGGGAGCATGACCTGAGCCAAAGGCAGATGCTCAACCTCTGAGCCACCCAGGCATCCCCCAGAGTGATCTTCTAAAGGTCGGTCAGATAGATGACTCCCTTCACTGGCTCCCCATTGCCTTCAGCAGAAAATCCAAGCTTCTAGCCGCATGGTCCTGGCCTCTTACAACTGGCCTTTGCCCAACACCATCCCCAGGCCCGCCATCTCCCCATCTTCTCCCCTTTAACCACTTAGAAATTTTGGCAGGTGGCAGTGGTGTGTCAAGGTCTGTGCCTCTGGGCCCTTTCACAAGCTGTTGTCTCATGTGGAATGTTCTCCCCCAGGGAGGGCTCATCGGTCTCTCTGGGTAGCCTTCCAGACCCCACCTGCTGAGTCAGGAGGCCCTCCCCAGGTGCCACAGTCTATGAGTTCACTACCTCTTTGGTGCTTTCCAGGCAGAAGGTAGTTCTATGTGAACGGTTGTCTCCAGGAGCTCCAGGAGGCCAAGCAAGGGTCCTCCTCCCAGCCCAGGGCTTGCCCTACGACAAGTGTTGGCCTGTCAAGCCTGGGTCAAACACCCTCTGAAGATAGCCGTGAGCACAGTCAGCTGTCCAGACTCATGAACGCACCCTGTTTGAGCACCCCACCCCATCTGTGCCCCCCAGGGCTCACTGCCCCCCCTCCAACGGTCCTGTATGTGTGGAGAGGCTCACAGGCGGCTGCAGCTCCCTGGAGCCTCTTTTAAAAATGCAGTCAGGCTTGTTTCCTCCTCATAAACAACGACTTAGCACAATGTTAGGTCCCATGGGAGAGTGTTCCCCCAAGCAAAGGAGACGCAGGAAGGGGAGGCCGAGTGGGCCCAGGAGGGACCGGGTGACTGGGCATAGATGGGAGGCAGCAGGTAAAGGGGGCTTGGACGGGCTGCAGCCCCCGGTTTCCTGCACGGCCCCAGCTCTGGCATCTGATCTGGGCCTCGGCAACAGCTCTACCTCTTTCTTCCCACTGGGCCTCAGGCTCACACCTGGTCCCCATGGAGGTGTCCTCAGCCCACCCAGAGAGGATCCATTTTCAACTCTGCCTTCTCCCGGCCACCAGGCGGCCAGTTAGAGTCGTCACCTCTGGTAACAGCAAGCTGATGGCAAATGGAGGGCTGCTAAGCCTGGGGTGGGGTGGGGGTAGCTCACCCTGCCCCTCTCTTTTGCCCCCATCTACTCGCCCGGGGCAATCCTGGATAAGAATCTAATGAGATCAGGTGTCATGGCCCCAAGGGCACTGGGATCAGGTCGTGGAGTCAGGCGGAGCTGGGTTCAAATTCCAGCTTCCCATCTGGCTTGCTGTGTCATCTTGGGCACACGGCTTAACCTCTCTGAGCCTCGATTTCTTTACCCATGGAGCAGTGTGCGCCTGCGGAGCCGTCGTGGGGATGAACTGAAGTGACTGACTGACCGCAAGGCGCTCAGCACACGTCTGACACATGGTTGGAGCTCAGCCCACGTCAGCCGATGTTACACATCACAGGGCACAGCAGGCTGGGCACAGCGGTCGCTTCACACAGCCTCGTCTGCCATCAGGGGTAGGGAAACTGAGGCCCAGAGAGGCACAGGACAGCAGGCTCCTACTGCTCCTCCTCAGCCTGGGCTTGTGTCTGTGGAGGAGACCTCTGCGAGGAGCCACTGCTCCCATCACAAAGGCCTTGACGCCCGCAGTCTTGGGTCTTGGGCTCTGCCCTACAAACATCTTGGCAGCCTCATTAATTTAACAAACCTTTGCACCATGCTAAGTGCCCAGTGGAGTTAGATGCCTTTTGTGTATACTAACTTTTTACTGTCCTTACCCCCATTGTATGGAGGAGGGAACGGAGCAGCTCACCCTTGCCCGAGGCCGTCCAGCTAGCGGGTGGGAGGGCCACCCTCAGCCAGCAGAGACATGCCAGCAGCCGGTTTCCCATCCTCAGGGGAGCCCAGCCCAGGCTTGGGGAGAGGGGAGGGTCATGGGCATCCGAAGCCTGTCTTGCCCCACCTTCAAAGCTGGGGTGGAGGAGGCAATCTTGTGGAACTTGAGCCCGAGGCTGGCGTAATGGGAACACGAGCTTCGCCATACAAATGTCTGTCACTGGATGCCACATCTCAGGCCACAGCAGGTATTTCCCTGGAGAGAGGACAGTGAAAACTTGGAACAAGGGAGCTTTTTATTATTCAGAATAACCACACTATTTAATTTACTATTAATAATAGCTCTTGAGTCAACCTGCTCTTGAAGGGAAGCGGGAACTGAAAGGATGTCCCTCTCTCCTTTCCTGCCTCCCCTCCTTAGAATACTAGGAACACAGTCTCGAATGTTCGCATTGTGGGGCAGGTTGGCGTGGGAGGAAGTGAGGCCCAGCAGTGAACCCCTCTCCTTCCTCCCTGTCCAGCTGTGCTCTGCTATTCTTCTGTGGGTCCACAGTGGCCACCACCCCTCTGCTGGCAGGACCCCTGGAAGGACAGTGTGGCTTCTGTCTTTAGGCTGAGCTGAGGGCAGGGCCAGGGGCTTCCAGCTGAAGCAAAGGGAAATGTGGGCTCAGCAATCCTTGCTGCCTTAGCACTGATGGGAACCATAGGGACCATAGGTAGGGACGAGGAATCAGTGAAGCCGGGATCCCTTCGGGGGCCCGTGTTTTGCCCTCTGCAAAACAGAAGGAGCCCATGCAGAGAGGAGCAGAGCCACGGAGGAGACCGGAACCCGTGCCGGAGAGTTTGCGGCTTGGAGTCCAGAAGGCCCAGGGGGACCTGAGAACTGCCTTCAAGGAACTAGAGGGGTTTGTTTTCTCCACCGACCGTCTTCACTGAGGGCTTCTCTGCCAGGGGCTGGGAGTGTGTGGCCCAGTCTCTGTGGGGCTCTCAGGGTGGCAGAGACAGTGGGCAGGAGCATGACTGAAGCTGGGCAGGGAGCACTTCGGGGTAGAGCTGTGTGGTCCTGATGGGAGTCGTAGGAGACAGTCAATTTGCCTGATTTGGAGCTAGACGGGTGTCCTGGCTCCCAGAGGCAAGAGCTCAAGGACTCTCCTCTGGAGTTGAGTTTGGCCTTTTGGGGTTGGTTTGTTTGTTTGTTTGTTTTTGAGAGATTGAGAGAGAGAGAGAGAGAGAGAGAATCTCAAGCAAGCTTCACACTCAGTGCACAGCCCAGCAAAGGGCTCAATCTCAGGACCCTGAAATCATGACATGAGCCGAAACCAAGAGTCAGACGTCTAACCGACTGAGCCACACAGGTGCCTCGGCCCTTTGGCGCTTATTTAAGATGGCACCCAGACTCCTGGGTACCCACTGTCCTTGACTCTGCTGCCTGTATTAGGGCCCCTGTGTGACCTCGGGTGAGTTAAGTGGCCCACTGGGCACACGTCCCAGAGGGCAGGGGTCATGCTTTCCCTTTCTTTTAACTACCCAGCTACCCAAGTACCTAGAGCTGGACGACCATGGTTGACCTCCCAGGCTGTGGGATGAAGGTCCCAGGCAGCACGGCAGCATCTGTTCTCCTTCCCCGAGAGATAGCCAGCAGCCTCCTCTCCTCTCCTGTCCACCTCTCCCATGGGCTGAGTCCTAGACATCTTTCCGCGATTGAAGACTGCTCTGTAACACTGCCATGGGTGGATTCAGACTGGCTGATGTGATACTTGAGCTTTCTTAGTCTGCCAGAGTCGAGCTCCACATACCTGCACACACACACACACACACACACACACACACACACTCCTAAACATGCACACTCACACACATGCCGGCTTTCATTGTGAGGGCCCCACTCTTTATTCAAGGAGCGGTCTCGGGTGTCTGAATGGATGCTTGAAGACTCCCTCTTTGCAATTAACACGCTGCTGCAGTATTATTAGCCTCTGATAGGCAGGTCTGCCTTTGCCAGAGACTATAAATATGTGGAGCCAATGACTCAGCAAATCTGTTGCTATTTTTCTTACAGATCCGTGTGGATCTGTGTCTGTGTACACCATGGCCCCATCTCCCAGCAGCTCCCATGGCTTGTATCCATGGAAACACAATCCTCCCCAACTACAGTACTCCAGCTGACAAACATGGGAGTCTCCACAGCCCCCTACCCACTTTGGAGAGGGAGTGTGGGCTCCCAGTGAGCAAGGTGGCACAATGGAGGACGTGGCACTTTCTCTGTTGTTTTGAATGCCTGGCAAAGCCAGTCTCCAACCCCTCCTCCTCCCCCCACACTGATCTGTGGTCAAGGCTTTGCCACCTGTTCAAGAGAAGTGGCCCAATGAGGGAGCCCTTCCTGAGAGCTCCCATGGGGGTGAGGTTGGCAGGGCAGTTCCTGAGAGCTGTGGGTCATATGGCAAGGGAGGCAAGGAGGGCCTGATGCCCTTGGCTGTGGGGGATACCAGCCATTGGGAGACAGAGTAGACGACAGGGCAGTGGCTATGAGAGGGAGAGGGAGACTATGTTTGGTACAAAACCCTATCTCCTGACCTTGACTCTGTCAAAAGAACCTGTGAGTTGGATGAAAGAGCATGAGCTCTGGAAGTCCTCGCTC